ATGGTGCTATTTTCAAAAAGGCTTATGTGCTTAAAAAGCCCTGTTGGAAATGAAGTGGCCAGCTGGAGGATTTCATTAAAATGGGATTCTAATTTAGTTTAGTTCTTTCAGAATTGGGGTAATCTTCAAGAACTGCTGCTATGCCCTTAAGCAAGACATTTAACTACAATCTGCACCGAGGGAAGCAACACTATGTAAATGACAATATGTTCACATGCACTTTTCCTGTAATATAAAAATGTCAATGCCTGCTACAATTATTCTAATTTATATAATGACTGCCAAGATCAACAGAAAACTTAGAGATAGAGAATCATCATAATCATGCAACAGTTCTGAGGGCACCAGCAAAATGCATTCACTTCTGTAAAACCACCCATGTGATGCTGATGTACTTTTTGGAAGCTCATTTTTGATGAAAAATGATTTGATGAAAAGATATATTTAGCTCAGTGTACTGCAGTCGAGTATGTGACATTCACTCTTGTGGTGCGAAGTCGTGAAATAAGAGGAATTAAAAGTGACTAGGCTTCTGAAAGGAGAAGGTACATTTTATTTTACATGAAAGATGAAATTCTTCAGCATTTTTCAGCATTTCCACCAAGAACTGTCTTCAGCCAAAACTATGAACGTGTGCTAGAAGCCACTGGGTATGAGAAGGATGAGAAGGATAAAAGCCAAATGTGCAAATAACGTTATAATGCAATAATTACAGGATTAGAGAGATGTAAGGCTCATGGGGGAATAAGGAAATTATATGTGCATGTGTGCGCGTGTAGACGGCAGCTGCAGAGACCTCCAGCTGCATCCAAGCTCATATTTTGTGGCCTGCTGTGGTGCTCCCACTAAATGCCAGACGCTGATGAGTGTTTGTTTATGGCAAAGCTGTGCCTAAACCACAGATCAAGTGCACTCTATGTCACCAGTTCAGAGATTTTTCCTTTGGAACCAAACAAGATTTAGCTTGCCGTCTTTCCACTATTTGTTTCTGTGGTTTAGCCCGTTATACAGTATGTAACAAATTTGATTTGTTTTCATTCCCTGTGTAATTTTATTAAGTGTATTTTTTTTTTACTCACTGGAAGCTTCTTTGTTTTATTCAAATGCACTGTATCAATAGAACCATGCACTATATTCCAGGAATCAACCTCATAAAGTCATTGTTTCACTGACTTTTTTTTTTAAATTCATAATAGCTTGTTTGCTGGCTTGCTGAGTACTTTGTGAAAGCATGCTTATGGCTCAGAGAACAGCTTGTTGATGAGCCAGTTGGGCTGGCACAACCCAATAAAACTTCCAGCTTGATAACTCAAACCCATCCCCACTGTTCAGGCTAATAATCACGCTCACAGCAAGGGCAACTTCTTCCTCTGAGAAGAATTATTTTTCCCAACATAAAAATTTAGCAGTGAGTGATTTAACTCTATACTTCATACAACCATTGCTAATATCCAGGAAATCTCTCAGAGGCTGCTGGGAAAAAACGGGGAAAAACTTGTGACCAGCATACTGAAATGTCATAATGCAAATATAATACAATACTCACAGCTATGTTAAAAGTCAGGTACCCCTTGCTGAAGAATCAAAAGTCCAGTGGGTGGAGTCAGACCTGCTCCAGTTTCTCCTAACTGGGTGGAGTCGAACCTAAGTTCCAGGGGGTGGAGAAACTCAGTGTGTTTCAGGCTGGATAAGTGTGTTGTTAACTGTGTTGTTCTGTGTTGTAGAGCATCTCATGGGTTAGGGGTTATGGGTAGGGTTAAAGTAGGAGATAGATGTCAAGCTCCACCCCTAGACTTTTGGTTCTGCAGCTCATAAAATTAGCTACTTTCTACAAATCTTACAAGAATTTCGTTACATTATTCCCTGTTTAAGCCCCACCTTTGTTTTGTGCCCACTTTGAACTTAGAATTTTACACATTTTGTCTCGCTTCATTTTTATATTTTTCCATGACAGTGTCAGCGTTAGCAAATTTTGCTGGGATGGAAGAGTAACAACAAGCAGTGTGTTACTGAAATCAGTGAGTGGTGGGAAATTCAAGATTTTTATTCCCAGCGGTTTCTAACCAGTTTACACATCCAGATGTCACTGACCCACATGTGACCCTAAAAAGAATTCTTACATCATCAGTGTGAATCCCACAAAGAGATTTAAAAGCCGGAGAATTTCTCACGATTCAGTGGAACAGATGAAGCCTTTCAGTTTAATGAAGACATGTTTTTACAGATGAAACAACATTAGTCGTATCACCATGCCTCAGTTTCAGCTGCTGGATTATTGCAGTGAGATCAGCAGGCTGGTTGGTTGACTGGTCCTATTTTCTGGTGGTTGAAATTCCCTTTGAGCACAAAGATATTTTAAAAGATGTAAAAATGATATCAAAAAGATGTCTTTGGGAGCCAGATGTTGTTTTCCAGATTTTGGCTGGGGTGAATGTATTTCACACAATATTGAAAAGACTCTTGTGACTGAAGACAACTCATCAAACTTCATTTGGCCCAGATCAAGGCAGAGTGACTTACAATGACCCAATAACAATGTCCTTTTAGTCAGGCAGGTTGGTTCAATAATGGATGTCCATGGACATCTAGTAGTCGGTCCTCACTGGGTTATTGCTTGTACATGTGTGAAAAAGCCTCGATTGAGGCCATCAGATTTTTGCATTACTCATCCTTTACCCCTAGATGTCAGTGTGGTGCTGAGAATTGTCCTGTCGATTTAATGAGGTAGTCTCTTCTCATTAGCGAGCCTCTGATGGCATGAACTCACATTAGATTTGAAATTCAAATCAGTAATCGGAATTCACAGAAACTGTAACAACCCAGACACGCTAATGGATCTGACGTGTTTAATAAGCACTCATTTCCTTAAACCCAGTAGTGATTTTTAACGAGCAATCGGTGTGGTAATGAGGACATTTTGAGGACCTTCTTCTCCAAGGAAAAAAAAGGAAAAAGGAAAGAAAACCCCCTCAGGTATTGACTTGGTCGGCTCTGAGCCATTCTCAAAAATCAACCCTCGTAGCAATATTGATTTAGCTGTTATCAATTCCCCAGGCTGCGCTTATGAGACGAAAAAGCAAGAGGCACAAAAGCCTCCTGCTCAACACAACTATTCAGCCCACAGAAGAGGAGTGTTCAACACCTTAGTGTGAGTGGACAACAGGAATGAAGAGGGAGAGTAACAGAGGATAAAAGACAGAAAGAGAGAGAGAGAGAGAGAGAGAGTGATACAGTGAGGGACTGGGGACTCACTGTATCATTTCCACGGTTCTAGTGCGAGTTCCTGGCCTGTGCGAGTTCTCGAACCGTTACGCGCATTTTCACCACAGAGAAAACGGTTCCACCCTGACCCTAAAAACTTGCTGGACTTGCTGGTTACGTCAAGGGGCAGGTGCGGTGCAAGGGCGAGGGCATGTAGTGTCAACAGGAAAAGTTTTCTGAACAACAGTTTTGACTTGCTAGCTACTGCACTGACATCTCCAGTAACTACCACGACAGAAAAAAAGATACAAAATGTCTGAAAAAGTAGTTTAGCAGTGGACAGACACAAAGCTAGAATAAGGGGAAGAAAGAGGGAAAGACAGTGACAGAAAAAGACTGTTTGGGAGAAAATAAGCTTCGCAGATATTAAGAAGGAATGATTCACAGAATATGAGAGTCACCTTAGTGAGAATGAATGAGAGAACGACAGAGAAACAGGTAGAATATAGAACTTTTAAATAAATAAGTGCTTTGCCATTTCAATTAATTGAATTGAATTGAACTGAGAAAGCTGGGACAAAAAAGAGGTAGGGAGATAAACAGTAGCAGAAAGATGCATTGAGAAGAAAGCAGATGGTGTAAAATGTTGATAGAGACAAACACATGGATTGAAATAGAGCAAAACAGAGGAAAAAAAGGAAAGAGGAAGAGTAATAATGGGTGAAAGAGTAAAAGGGAGACAGAGAGAGGGAAATACAGAAACAGTGACAAATGGAGTGAGACAGAAAGAAAGAGATGACATTAAGCAGAGAGAAATACAGAAAGGGTGGGGAGAAGAACAGAGAGGAAAAAGTGAAGGAAGGGGTGACAGAGAGAGGAAGCATTGGGGGGTGGGGAGTGAGATATTGTGGGAATAAGAAGGACAAAGAAAAACAGAACAAGGCAGTGAGATGGGGAAGGTGGACAGTTGGAAAGAGAGAAAATATGATGGAAAAAAAGAAGGGACAGTGGCAGAAAGACAAGAAGAGCGAGAGGGAGACAGTGACTTTCACTGGGCCAAAGTAATTAAGTGGTTTAGAGATTTAATGAGGTTTGCAGATTGCTGTCCCATTGGTAAAAAAAAAAGTTATCTACAGATCAGAGATGGATTACCGATGGGGCCTACTGGGCACATGCACAGGGGCCCTGGCTATTAGGAAGACATTGATGAGGACAGATTTGTCGTGAATAATTAGGCTACACACAACAAGACACATCAAGCACAAGCCAATGAATGTACAGTCACAGAATTTGAAATAACTTCAGAAATGCTGTTGATGTTTGGGTCTGAATTTTTAGATAATGAGCCGTCAACCTCTACACCCACATTAATAATCACAATGCAAAGAATACTTAAAAAGGCCAAAGAAGCCTAGTGGGTCTGATTATAAACAAACTCAAATGGGCCAAAGAAGAGTCAACATGCTGTAACTGCTGGGCATTGAATGGGAGCTTGTTAAACAGCTACGTAGATATTGATGATTTGGTGGATGAGTGTGTGAGGTAAAAAGCACGAAAGAAGTCAGTCACCTAAGGTAAGACTGCCTTTTGCATATAACAGAGACTAGTCAAACATTGTAATGTAGTAATGTGTAATGTAGTTGTTCCTCTTTCAGCTGCTCCCATTAGGGGTCGCCACCATGGATCATTGGTCCACGTATTTGATTTGGCACAGTTTTTACGCTGGGTGCTCTTCGTGACGCAATTGTCCCCAGTTTTATCCAGGCTTGGGACCAGCACTGAAAGCACACTGGGGTTGGTTCCCTGGCCAGAAATCGAACCCGGGCCACAGCAGTGGGAGAGCTGTGGCTTAACCACTAGTCCTCCAAAGAACCCGAATGTATAATGTAGTAATACATAATAAATAATGTAGTAATGAGATAAAGGAATGAAAAGACTGAAAGAGATAGTGGAGAGAGACCAAGATATGGATTTGGAGGAAGAAACTAAGAGGAACAGTCAGAAATATAGAGAGAGGGGGTGAAATAATGATAGACTGTAGGAGAGAGACAAAGTGTGAGTCTATGAGAGAGAGATATATAGATAGAGAGAGAGAGAGAGAGAGAGAGAGAGAAAGAGAGAGAGAGAGCAGGTGGAAATAGGAAAGCCCGAGGAGGTGCGCTAATGAGCCCAGGCTTTTGAAAAGTGTGTGCTGTGGCGAGACATTGCTGGACAGGAGAACCATCTTTAATAAGTGAGCCATTGATCCAGCCAGCAATTAAGAATCCAAACTATCTAATGAGCTCCAATTGGACGGCTGGCAATTACAGAGCCAGTGGCTGGAAGAGCGAGCATGAGGCCGGCGATCTGATTGGCTTCAGTGCTCTTAATGGGATCGTGGCTCCTCTCAGCTCAATGGCTGAGCAGTAATAGCAATCCGGCAGCAGATAGATATCTGTGTGAGACCTGATTGCACCCTGCTGTCAATAAGCAGTCCTCACTTTAATAGGAACGTGTATGTGTGTCCCTGTGGTCGCCAGGGTCATCTTGTGTCATAGAATGTTCCAGTTGCACACGGGGGCGTATGAATCCTCGGTAATGAGGGGAAAAGTATCAAATGCTTGTGACTTATGATGCCGCCAAGCCGTTTTAAAGCCACTCGCTGCTGAGAAACAGACATTATTCTTATTTTGTGCAATCAGGAAGCTATTCACACAGCGACCAACTGGCCTTGGGAAACTTTTGAAAGAGGATGATGAGCTGGATAAAGAAAGATATAAAGTACAGGAAGCTCAGTCGCAAGAACAAATTGAAAGAATGTACTTTCATCAACTATTGAAAAATTACTGGGAGAGGAAGAGAAAGACCAACACACATCTGCATTTCTGTGTGAACATGCAATATTGCAACAGATTGTTTAAACTCAGTGGTCAAATTGTAAAACTAATGTATAAGGGGTATGGTAGGTTGATATGTTGCAGAGCATTAAGTAAGTTAGCTACTCAAATAAAGTTCAGTAGACTGATTAATGTGAGATAGTGAAATTAATTAATTAATTAATTAATTAATTAATTAATTAATCCATTTGTTCATTTCTTTTCAGTCAAGGCCCTGGGGATCAAGAGCTTATTCTGAGAATACTGGGAGCAGGGCAAGAATGCACCATTGAACAGATAACAGTCTATCACATGATAGTGGAATTAAATATTAAAAATTGACTCCTGGCATCTTTTACCAGATACCACTGGCTATCATACCTTTGTTGTTTTGTTGTTGTTTTTTTAGTGAGGTCAATTTGATTAAATCCACTATATATGAAGGTCAATGCTGAACTCAGAAGTGTCATAACCCCTAACTTATGAAAACCATCACTTTATTGGTGTGACATACTTAGGCTTATGTAACATGTGGTAAAATCTCAAATATGGATTGAATTGAAATAGTGCTAATAGTCACATTCCATAAGACGTTAATTCAAAAAACATAAAATGGGAGATATTACAATGGAGATGATTTTAGTCTTTTTTTAACCAGGGGTATTGCTTTCCCTGACATCACCACCTGCAATTTGAGTCCCTTGTTGATGAGAGAGGTCAGAGGAGAATGGCCAGATTAGATTGAGCTGACAGGATGGCTATAGTAACACAAATAACCATAACATACAATCATAGTGAGCAGAAAAGCATCTCAAAAGGCACAACATGTCGAACCTGAGGTGGATGGGCTACAAGTGCAGAAGACCACAACAGGTTCCACTCCTGTCTCCCAAGAACAGGATTCTGGGGCTACAGTGGACACAGGTTCACTAAATCTGATAGTTGAAGTTTGGAAAAACATTGCCTGGGCTGATGCTTTTTGCTGGAACATGCAGATGGTAGGGCCAGAATTTGGTGTCAAAACGTGAGTTGATGGAACCAGCCTGCTTTGTGTCAAGTAGTGGTGGTGGTGTAATGTTCAAGGGGATGTTTTCTTGGCATATGTTGGGCCACTTAATAGCAACTGAGCATTTTTTAATTGCCACGGCCTATCTGAGTATTGTTGCTGACCACATGCACCCCTTTATAGCTGAAATTTTTATCCATCTTATAAAAGCTTATAAGGACAGTAGTGGCTAGCGTTTAAAGTTCTGGGTTATTGATAAGAAGCTCAGGGGTGCAACGCCCTTGATCGAGGCCTTTAACCCTTTCTGGGGTTTTCTGGGTTAACCCTTTATCATGGCTGACCCTGTGCTCTGACCCCAGCTTCCTAACAAGCTGGAATATGTGCAGAAATTAATTTTACTGTACTGTAATGTACAGTATATGTGACAAATAAAGGCTTTCTTCTTCTACCATGATAATGTGCCTTGTCACAAAGTACAAGTCGTCACAAACTGGTTCCATGAACATGACAATGAGTTTGGGGTACTTCAATGGCCCTCTATACCACCCCTCACCTCTCCCACCACCCTGGCTATGCTGTGCTGTTATCTATAGTGTAATATTACAAAAAAAGAGAAGCCACACTGAGGAAATCCAGCCCTGTTTAAAAGTTGCATTGTTGACTTGGGTTTGCTGCATTAGGATACTGCTACTGTACATCTGCACTATATGTTACTGTCAATTACATAAATGCTAGTAAACTAGCTCACATTTATCACAGGACACGAATGGATTTCATTATGTATCACTAATTTGTGTAGCAGAATCTAAGCAGCAGTTATCCATGTGTAATCTCTTCCACACCTTCTCGCAACTAGATCACGATGTTCTCGGCTTGCTGAGGCAGTTTGTACTGTGAAAGCTCTGTGAAAATGCCTAGCAACAGCTAACTCAGCGCACTTGCTCACATCCTGTCTGTGACATCAGCATAGTAACGCTCAGTACATCTTAAAAATGCTCCTGTTCAACTCCTATCTCAACTCGAGGACCAGATCTAGCAATGTATATCCTAAAATAGAATCAGCAACACCATGTCATGTCCGTGTCTGCAACTCATGAAGACTACAACTCCCATGATCATCAGCTCCCGACCTTATCACATGACTTCCATTCAAGCTCATATCCCTGTTAATTCTCCTCATTACTAATAGAACTCATCTCACACTACTCCCTTTAAGTGACCCTGACTCTCAGTGTTAGTTTGTGAAGTCTGGTTCCTGCACTGTGTCTGTGATGATTCCAAGTTTTTCCTATCTTCCTGTCTTCATTAGTGTTTTGAGCATAGCCTGCTTTATGTTTCCTGATTTGGTCTTGTTTGGTTTATGCCTGTTTGTCGATCTCCTTACTATTTGCCTGCCTCATGTTTCTGAATATTGCCTAGCTCTTTGTTTTGTTTGCTACCATGGTTTTAATAAAACCAGAAAACCTCACTTGTATCTGTCTGTCTGCCTCATGACACACCAACACTTTAACATTTAGAATATTACTACTAGATCCTAAATCTATTCTTATAAACTCTTGTTTATTCTTTCTGTCTTTTCTTTTTTGGGGTCTAAAATAATACATTTCAGTTAAAGTCAAGATAATTTCTTTTTTTGAGTATTTCTAGCATTTTTTGTTTCATTAAAAAACACAGAAAACAAAACTGTTTAAGATGATGTGTAAGATGCTGACAGGTGACAAATTAAAAGAACTACAAGAAGAAAAAAAAAGCAAGGTGTTGGACCACCATAAACTGCCAGAACAGCTTCAATGCACTTCAGCATAGATTCTCCAAAAGTTATTCCCTCAGCTGGTGTTTTGATGATGGTGGTGGAGAGTGCTCCATGTCAGTCAAAACAGGGTCTTCAACTGGGTTGAGATCTGGTTATCTGGTTGAGACTGTGAAGGCCATAGCATGTAATTTATATTATTTTCATCCTTATCAACCCATTCAGTGAGCCCTTGTGTCCAGTGAATGGGGAGACTGTCATCCTAGAAGAGACCACTCCCATCAGGATAGAAATGTTTCATCATGGATAAAGGTGATCAGTCAGAATAGCTGGGTATTGAGTTGACCCTTCCCTTCCAGGGGACAAGTGAACCCAAACTATAACAGCAAAATGTCCTCCAAAGCCTAACAGAGCCACTGGTTTATTTCTTTAATTTTTCACCCCTTTGTATATACTAACATAACGCTGCCATGTTTATGAAAAACCAACAATCAGTTAATCCCAAGCTGTAGTACTGTAGTGCTCACATCAGTCAGCAGGTAGCACTAATGTTCTTCCTCTCTGTTTGTTCTATATGCTTCTCTGTCATTCACTGCTGTCCTATATGTCCCACTTACTGAGATGTTGATGAGATAAATTGATATCTAGTGGAAAAAAATGGGCCATCTTAGCTGAAAATATGACTCAGATGTCTGGGAGGAAGATCTAAATACTTTCCAAACTTCACCAAGTGGACTTCTGGTTTTTTTTTATATATTTCTAGTCTCTTATTCTTATTATTTTCTTTATTTTCTTTATTTTTTTGTACTATTGTCCTCCTTACTTTCTTTTCAAATTTCCTTATCTTTCATTAATACAGGAATCTTCTTCTCAATGAAGTCCTCTCTAAAGTACATTTATTCCATCTTATTATTATTATTATTATTATTATTATTATTGGCTGTGGTATCTTGCTAAATATTTGTTTTGGGAAACTTTATATATATATATATATATATATATATATATAACTTCATATAAGGGGGAAAAAAGCATCAGGGAGGAGGGGATGTTTATGAATCTCAGCAACCACTACTGAGTTTCTTGCTAGGTTGCCAGGCAAATCAGTAAAAAATAAAAAAATAAAATAAATAAATAAGCTAGATAGCTATCCACTGCCCCAACATGATCCTCCCAAACTCACACCACACCTGGAGCACCCATAAATTGCCTGACTTTAGCACAAAAAGAAATCCATTTTACACATTTTGTAGTTTTACT